AAGCTGCAGAACGGACCTGACCAAGTGCGAAGGTGGCAGCAGCGTGCGCGAGATCAAATGACCGGAGCTCGTTAGCTACAGCAGCTCCGACTTTTTCGCCGACGCGGCCAACGGCTCGCTCACTTTAGTGGTGGACGTCGACGGCGACACGACCGGCGGCACGTCGTACCCTCGCACCGAGCTGCGAGAGCTGTTCGAGTGGAGCCTGATCGAGGGGCACCACGCGCTGGCGGCGACGCTGGCGGTGGAGCGGCTGATGAATGGCACCAAGGAGTCCGTCGTCGTCGCGCAGGTCAAGGACTCGGCGGGGAACCCGCCGCTGCTCAAGGTGCGAGCCAAGGTACACGGCTCGACAAGGCCAAAGTTCCGGCTCGAGGCGCGCGTCAAGTACCACCAGGAGTCCGACGGCGCGGTCAAGGAGCTCGGCCTCGCCTTCGACCATCTCTTTGAGTTGGGCGATCCGATCGAGCTGCTCGTGGTCGTGAAGCAGCTGACGGTCGAGGTGACGGCTGCGGCGGTGGGTGGGGTGGCGCAGACGGTGTCGCACGACTACAGCGGCGTGCGCCCGTTCAACGAGACGCTGCAGGACGTCTTCCACTTCAAGGCGGGGGTCTACGCTCAGAGCAACCTCGCGAGTTCCTCTCCGGGGCAGCAGTGCATCGCCACCTTCCGTAGCCTGACGGTCACGCACGCTGCGCTGCCATCGCAACCTCCTCCGCCGCCGCCGCCGTCCGCCTCGCCCTCTCCGCCGCCGCCGTCCGCCTCGCCGTCGCCGCCGCCGCCTGACGTGCAGCTGCTCGACCTCCGCGCCGCCACCACTTACCAGGACTCGAGCCTTTTCGACAAGCAGGCGCCCGTGAGCGACCTGTCATACGCCGACAGCACGACGGGACGGCCGTGGGCCGAGTGCGGCCAATACACAACCCAATGGTGGGGCGTCGACCTCGGGAGCGAGGTGTATGTGCGCTACGTGCGGCTGCAGAACCGCAACGACTGCTGCGCGGAGCGGCTGACGGACGTCGACATCTATCTCGGCTCGACGGCGGAGACGTACACGGGCAACGCGCTGGTGAAGTCGGACGTGAGCGTGTTGTCGAACGTGATGTTGGAGGTGGAGATCAACGCGTTGGGGCGCTACATCTACCTCAACCGGCCGTCTGCGGCGGGGCTGACGGTGTGCAAGTTCTACGTCTTCGCTTCGCCCGCGCCGCCGCCGTCACCATCACCGCCTCCACCGCCGCCGCCTCCCTCCGCCTCGCCCTCGTCGCCGCCTCCCTCGGCATCACCCTCGCCGCCGCCTCCCTCCGCCTCACCATCGCCGCCGCCGCCCTCAGCATCGCCGTCGCCCCCGCCGCCGTCCGTCTCGCCGTCGCCGCCGCCGCCGTCCGCCTCATCCTCGCCGCCGCCGCCCTCAGCATCGCCGTCGCCCCCGCCGCCCTCAGCATCGGCGTCACCCCCGCCGCCATCCGTGTCGCCGTCGCCGCCGCCTCCCTCGGGATCGCCTTCGCCCCCGCCGCCGTCGGCCTCGCCTTCGCCGCCGCCTCTCTCCGCCTCTACC